TGGCTGGTGGCTCCTCTGTCCCACCCACAGAGCTGAGGCTGCACTGAGCTGGCGCCCAAAGAGCCTCCTGTCTTCGCTCCCCACCCTCCTCTCCCCTCCCCTCCCTGTCGCTCAGATTCCAATACAATTTCCAGCTAACCAGCATGTCGATAGAACAAGTCGGGCAGCCGGATTGCTGGCCAATTACAGGAAATCATTCTGCTCCACAGCTCAGCACCCAGGGAGAAGGCGGGTGGAGGGAGAGAATGCGAGGGAGTAGGCACCCAGCTCACAGGCTGGGAAGGGGCTTGAGGCAGGGAATGCGGCAGCCCCTGGCAGGAGCTGGGAGGGAAAGTAGTGGTGTATGGCGAGGCTTATGGACTCAGCTCCCCTGGAGAGAACTGGCGGCTGAGGGCTGATGAGCAGGGTTGGGTAGGGGGGTAAGGCAACTGCTTGGAGTAGAAGGGGGACTGAGGGGGGATTGTGAGACCAATCTCCCCCAGAGCCCTGCGTTTGTGTTTGGGGATGGGCATGGCACTCAGGCCTCCCTGGTCCAGAGTCCTACAGGGCCATCTGATTACCCAGAAGCTGGGGCCCACATGGGCAGGACCTGTGCTTCCACACCCAGCCATGGACCAAGACTATCCTTGGGGGGGGGAAGAGGGGAGAGAGAGGGAAGGAAAGGGTCTTCTGCCTGCAGCTGATTGGACAGCATCAGTGTCACTGGTTGAAGGGGTAAGTGTGGAAGCAATCCCTTCGCTCCAGAAGGTGGGCGCAGAAATGTGGGAGGGGACAGTGGCCTCCTCGTTTATTTTCCCAGCACCTCAGCCCTATTTCACAACTTGGGCCCTAAGAAACGCTCACTCACATGAAAGGACCCGAATCCCCTCCACCTTCCGTCTGTCTCATCTGCCCACGCCTCTGGACCTGGGTACCTCTTTGCCAACTGCACCCCCACCCTTCATCAGATCTTCCCCAGAACTGTCTTAACTACCCCCCAGGCAGACCATCCAGCAGACCCTGGGGTGCCCCCGCTTCCCAGCACCAATGACTAGCTCCCCCTCCCAGTCCTGGGGCCACTCCCACAAAGTCCTGGAAGATCCTTGAGAAACTTCCCTATGAATTAACGCTACCCAGTGAATGACAATTGTCGCTATGTTTGTCCTGTACCCCAAAAAGAGGCAACTGTGACCCAGAGATCCCTTCCCCTCTCCTGGCTGTGGCCACCTCCCCAGGCCCTCTTCCCAGTTCCCAGCATCTCACTGCTGCCTCCCCCATCGCAAGCCCTCTCCGTCAGACCCCACTAGGGGTGGAGCCTGGGCTGGATTCATCTCATCACTTCTCCCAGCCCAAGTGCAGACAGATGGGCAGACACGCCAGAGGGGATGGACCTCAGCACAAGGCCATCATCAAAGTTCCTGTGGGGGGTGCACTGGGAGGGCTCAGCGCCCCGGGGCTTCTTCCCGGCTTCCTGTCCAAGTACACGGGCCCGGACGTGGGGGTTGGGGCCGTCAGGCTCCATACACCGTGGGCACCCTCTGCTCTGCCGGTTGAGGCTAAGCCGCTGCTCCAAGCTCCCAGGGCTCCCAGAACAGGGTGCCCGCCCCAAGCCCCCGCCCCAGCCTGGTCCACGATTCCTCCCGCCCGCAGGCTCCGCACCATTGATTGGGCCTCGGGGACCGGGCGCGACGCCCCCGCCCTGCCCCTCGCTTTTCACTTT